TTCAAATAGAAACTTATATTTATATTTTAACACATATTAAATATACATATTTTTATTAATACATATTAAATATGTATAGTTAGCACAAAAAATTGGGCCTAGCCATATGCCCAGGCTCGTCCACATGTAGATCCGCCTCTGGAGGGGAGTCCGCCGTGGTGGTCGCCGGAAAATCAGCAGAGGAAGGTGAACGGGATGGCCTCACTTAGGTCGATGGTCTGGTTCTCGTCATGGAGGGGAAGGGTGGCGGCCTGCTGGGGTCCTCGCCTTGTCGCCATGATGACTCAATCGCCGGAAAAACGGAGTCTCAGCCGCGTCTGGTGGCTTTCCGTCGGAGGAGGAATGAAGTCGCTGGAGGCCTAGAGACGATCGATGATGGCGCGGGAAGCTTGATGATGATCGGAACAGAGGGTGGTGATGGGTGACGGTATGATGATGGAGGAGCGATGATGGTTGAAGATGGAAGGATAGAACGATGGGCGATGAAGGAGCAGATTATCTCCTTCTGCTCGCGATCGATTTAGGGAGGAGAACAAATAAGGTTGCGGGATTCTCTTTTATCTGCTAAGGGTTTGCGCACGATGAGAACGGATCAAAATAAAGCTGCGGAAAGGAGTTCTAACGGGGCAGAATTCTTTCAACACAATTGGGTCGGAAGTAACAAGAATTGGGCCGCGGAAATTATTTAAAAGGCTCGGTATTAATAAACTAGCCCGGGTTTCGAAAATAAATTTAAACGGCTCGGGAAATTAAATTAAATCCAACGGCTCGACAAATAAATCCGAATGGCCCGGTTTAAAATAAAATCCGACGACTCAAAATACGACGGCTTGACAAATAAATCCAAATAGCCTGGTTTTAAATATTTAAATAAAATGCATAAATAAAATATATAATCCAGATGTCTTCTATTATTGGCGTTACAATATTAAACTCTTAAGTCTGAATATTTTATATTTTCATTCAAAGTCCTTTATATCTCTGATGTTATGTGGAGCCTTTTTAATTTCATTTCAAAACATTTTTCACACAAAAATTTGAAAAATCTCGCATTTGACTGATATTAAAATTCAATTAATTAAATCAATCTCACGTAATGAAATCTCTTTGTTTTGGTTGTTGATGAGATAGATTTACTTCTTAATTAAATCAATCACACGCAATTTCTCCAACTGCACATTCAAACAATAGATTTTTTTTTTCAGACGAGATTGATCAATTACTGACAATATTTTTGGCAAGGAAGTTGCGTTTTTTTTATTGCCTGGAGAATTTACGCACGTGTGACATGTGACAGGTGAGAAGTCCTCGATTGTAGGAAAATCAGTTCCAATATGGACTGTATTGTCAGTTTTCATATCTTTCTTGAATTGTTATTAATGCCCGCAATAGTTGAATTATTTAATTTCATGTTTATTGCTACTAATTATTTAATATGCATCATATTCATTTATGAGATTTGCATATTATTTATCTGATGTGCATAATATTTATTTATAGGATGTCATGTCTAATATACATGATATTTAATTAGTTGCTTATTTTTCATAAGAATTAATTATGTCAATTAATTAGTTATTTTATTTGCATGCTAATTAATTATAAAAAATGCAAATTAGAAAACCAATAATGAGATGTTTAAATATAAATAATTATATTTAAATAAAGTTAAAAAAAATTAAGAAATAAGTCTATTTGTGGATCTCACGGGATACACACTAGTAAACTTTCGAAACTTACTAACTTGTCACATAGACTCCGTATGTTTTGAAGATTGTTGTTATATTCAGGGGCGGAGCCACCCTAGGGCTAGGGTGGGCTCCAGCCCCATGTAATTTTTTGCTACCCTTATTTTTGTTAATCCTATTTTCTAAAAAAAAAAAATTATACATAGACTCATTAGCCCCATGTAATTTATTATCTAGCCCCATTTAATTTTTGGGTTGAATGACTCAAGATTATCTTCATGTTAAAATTTGTTATCTGACAACAATGGTGGAAAAATGATGATTATAGTGAGGAAAAAAGATAATCATTTATTGTCAAATTGACTATTGTGACCTTATTAGATTTTTATCAGTTGAGATTATAATGTGACCCAACACACTCTTGTCTTTCAAATTTTTAATGGGTTGACTTAACAAATATCAAATGAGTTGGATAAAAATGCTTGACACAGACTTCTCCAGCGGGCTATTTAATTGGATTCGTCTCATTCCACAGTCCGTTATCCATTTTCGTTTATTTTCTTCTTTTGCCTCCAATAATTAATTCGACATCATTTCCTACACAAAGAGAAAACTCGTACAAAGTTGATTGCAAACATGTTCGACTTTATTTGTTTGATCGACAAGTTCGATTAGCAATTTGAGTTTGGCTTGTTTAAATATATAAGCGATTTGAGATTGAATTTTTCCAATTCAAACCGACATATGTTAGCAGATAATTTGTTTATAATCATAATCAAAACCAGTTACAGGCCGAAACCGTCGATACTGGGCCGAGAGTTGGAGGACCCTGAACCGACGCAAACATATGTACGGGTCGGTTCATTGAATTGTTGATTACTGGTCGTCCGGTTCATTAAAAAAATACAAAATAATTAGAATAATATTTAAAAAAAAAAACGAACCTCGGGTTTCGGTTCCAGTTCGGAACCAAAACTGCATGTTCAAAATGTATAGATTATAAAGTATTGTACATAAACCGAACTGGTCAAAACCACGGGTTTGTTCAAGACCCATGGTCAACGGGTCTGCTTGTGTCGATTTGGGCCGAACCGACATGCTGGGTCGGCCCATGACCATGTCTACAAGATTTCAATATTAGCTACAATAATATGTAGCCCCAGGTTAAAAAAAATTCTGGCGTACGCCCCTGGTTATATTGTTATGGTGATCATCAAATATTGGAAGATCTGCCATAGAGAGAGCAACAGGATGATACTGCGCTGCTCATCATCAAATATATTATACATCAAAATATATCTATAACAATTGAAAAAAACAAATCCGGTACTAAGATGCAATATATTAATCACTATTATAGAGTAGTCCTCTTTAAATTAAATAGAAAGTGGATATACATACATTAATAACAAGTCTAAAGGACAGGCATGCAGCCATAAATGAACCAATTACCCACTCAAATTTCAAAACAAAACAAGTAATTAAGGAGAGTAAATATATATGTATAGGATCTCAAGAACCGATGTGAGGATACTGCATTGATACAGATTCTGATTATGGTGCGAGAGAAAAATATATAATAATAATAATAATAATAATAATAATAATAATAGCGTAAGAGAGAGAAAAAGAGATATTATCAATGATATTATGGGTGGGTGTTGTGTGTGTAATGTAGAGAGAGAGAGAGAGAGAGAGAGAGAGAGAGAATCATGAGCAGATATCTGAGAGAGACGATCACGAAATATCTGTGACCAAACACTTTTGCTTTTTTTTGGTTTTCTTCAAATACCGCCCAAAAATAAAAAATAAAAGATTGTGAAGTTTCCTATAAATATATATATATATAGTAGTCCTGGTCCAATAATATTGTTTTATAATTCTCATTGTTATTTATTCTTTTGTTTTCCTTACTACTCAATCTTCTCTTTCAACTAATTAAGGTAAGGATGGATCCAGCTCCTTTAGTTGAAGAAGAACCTCCTCATGTTTTGGCAGTTGATGACAACTTAATCGATCGTAAACTTGTTGAGAAATTGCTCAAGAGTTCTTCTTGCAGAGGTATATATTTATATTTCTTTTTATTACTTATTTCTTTTTTACTCTCTTTCTTTCTTTCTCTTTGTCTCTTTAATGGTTATCTATAATGATTTGACCGATTTCAATTTTTTTTTTTTTTTTATCAATCTTATTATGGTTGCAGTGACCACTGCAGAAAATGGGCAAAGGGCTTTGGAGTATCTGGGCTTGCTGGATGACAAGCAAAGCTCTTCAACTTACAATGTATTATTATTATTATTATTATTATTATTATTATTATTATTATTATTATTATTACTACTGTTGTTGTTGTTATGTTCACTAGTGGAAAAAACAGTTTTTATAACGGGTAAAAAAGGCTTTTTATAACGGTTTTGAGTTCGTTATAATTTCAGGCGTTCAATACATGGCCCAAACATCTAAAAATGTGTATTTTGCAATTCAATTGTCTAATTTAAGATTTTTGCGTGTTTCAAGATTGAAGGAGGCAATTCAGTTATTTACCTTATGACTTCCAGGTGGGAAGCACATAGCTAGGTAGCTAACCTATTTACTATATCACCATTCAGATTTAAATGAGCTCTCGAGTCCAAGAACCTAAACTAATCATCCTGAGTTGTATCAACAATAAGATTTAATAGCATATATGCAAATCAAAGGTTGAACACCACTGATGTTATGTTATCTTAATTTCTTTAAAACTAAGATTCTTGGTCTCCATCAAAGCATAAATCACAAACTTCCAGTTGCAGGTCTTTACTTTAGTCATGCTCATTTTTGTTTCTAGATAAGTAGCCTAACTTCAAGGACATATTAGCTACATTCTATCTCAGTAGCATAGAAACCATGATACTAGAGTATTTGTGCTTCCATTGGTTGTACTACTGATCTAGAAGTTGATAATATGCATTCTAGCAAGAAACATTGGGTATGATCATCACGAATGAAATAAACAAAAAATCGAAAATCCCCCTAAAAAATTTACCTTTCGAACAAATAAAAAATCGATAGAACGGCGAGCAGCAGATGGCAAGGGCTCGGTGCAGCGGACGCCGAGGGCTCGGTGCAGCAAATATACAAACGTCCTTGAAGATAGAAATTTCATGTCCAAAGAATTCAGTTTTGAACAGAGGTACAAATTTAGAAGTATTCAGAGGTACAAAATCACAATCTCCAATACCAACAACAATCAGACTCAAGAGTTCGTTTAGCCAAAATACCTTGAATTGGAGATAAAGAACGAAATCACCGGAAGAACAAAGAGATTTGGCCGACTCTGTGGTGCTGCGAAGATCGTCGCCCGGTGTGCTGTGAAGGCTGGTCATCGGACGTGGAAGTGGCTGGGAGTCGAAGGTCCCCGCAGTTGCCGAAAGAGAGCTCGGTCGTTGAGAGCTCGAAATCGCCGAACAATGGTCGGGACTCTGGAGTAGCTGCGGCCTGACGAAAAATCAAGGCCCGATATCGCCGGAGGTCGAGGCCCGTCCGAGGTTGCAGTACGAACGTCGTGGGCTTGTGATGAACGGCGACGGGGGTCTGTGATTTTGGGATTTTGTGAATTTGTGCTAGATAGGGCTTTGTGATTTTGTGATTTTGTGGGAGAGATAGAGGCAGAGGTATACAGACGTGGGTTTAGAAATAGATCTGATGAACCTAATTTTATGATAACGGTTGTTTAAACACCGTTATAAACAATTGAGAATCTAAATAATGTGTAACGGCTTTTTAAATACCCGTTATAAATAATTGAGAATTCAAAAAATTTATAATGGGTATAATTAATTTGATAGACACCTGTTATAAAAAGAACATGACTATTACAAAAATGCCACTGTCTTAATTTTTATAACGGATTTAACAAACCCGTTATAGAAACCCTGTTATAAAAAACGTTTTTTCTACTAGTGGTTGTTGTTATTCCTGTATTTATTTTCTTACATTTTGCATTTTTTAGGATATTAGGAATATAATACTGGGATTTTATTTCCATAATAATAGTGTCAAAAAATAATAGATATATGAGTCATTTCTTTTTATACATGACATATTTCACTTTCCTTGGAATTATGTGATTGGTTTAGAGCTAAGACTTGCAATTTATTTGATAATTGAGATGAGAAAATCACAAGTTATAAATATAGTTGTTGGCTGGTTGTAAACAGAAGCTAATAACAGAAATCAGAGAAATTTAAAACCATTTTTCCTTAAAAATTCTGACCACAGTTTTTCCTTTGTTTTGTCTAATATTTTCAAATGTTAATCAATACTGCAGGCCTCAAAGGTGAATATGATTATTACAGATTACTGCATGCCTGGAATGACCGGATATGAGCTGCTTAAGAAGATTAAGGTAAATGTAATATTCATACAACAATTTCGAAACTGTCTTGCCTTTTGACACACACACTCACACTCTTCTGTATTCTCTTCTTTTCAAGCAGGAATCATCGGTTATGAAAGATGTGCCTGTTGTCATAATGTCGTCTGAGAATGTTCCAACAAGAATCGACATGTAAAAGAAACTCTACTCTCTTGTATTTCAACCATATTTTATTCCAGATGGCTTTAGTTATCGACAATTGCTTATTTTCTTTTCTTTTCTTTTCTTTTGAGTCGACTAGGTGTCTCGAAGAAGGTGCCGAGATGTTCATGTTAAAGCCTCTCAAGTTCTCTGATGTGAAGAAATTGAGACGGGAGTTGCTGTGCAATGCCGCTGTTAAAGCACTATAAAAAGAACTTAGAAAAAAAAAGGCTACTTTTGATTTCTTGATTCTTGTAGTTAGGCTGTGTAATTTCTCAGACTAATGCGCTTGCTTTCAAGAGGATCTGTTTTGCTTATCTCGCAACTTTTTGCAACATTCTTATGTACATTTCAACTTAGGGATAATCATAAGTAACATCTAAAGTTAGTAAAAAACATAGACAAAAAAATTCAAATAATGAATGAACAAAGTAATTATGTTTATCTTTCAGAATTACAATATTCTATGGGCATTATCTACATGTATTGGCAATTGGAAAAGAATAAGAGAATGGCGATGAAATGTTCGATCAAACAATGAACACAAATTAGGAATACGAACTTCAAACATATTAACATAAATAATTGGACTAAATAAACAAAGTCAGAGACACTGGAATCACATTCTTCGAAAGACAAAATTGTCACCAATTAATACCCACAGTTCTCTCGACAAATTTGTTCAAGATACATCAATTTTTAAAGGCGATTGTATATGAATTCAATAGTAAAAAAAAAATATCAATCAAAACTCAAATTTTAACTCAATTTCACTATCCTCAATATTATCAATATAATTTAATAGTATCAACCAATCATTCTTATACATCACATCAACTTTAATTCGCTATTCACCCAGTCACATAATTCTAATTAACTATCACTTCCAATCATTTTTCTCCTATTTTACATCAAATCAACGTTAATTATTTTATTTAAATATTATTTTAATATATCTATTAACAACTAATCGTACTACTTTTTTTTTAAAAAATTAATTATAGCTAAAAAATAAACCAAATAAAAACTAGTGCAATCTATATAAACAATCACCCCCTTACTTTGTGTATAGTGCACTTCAAATACACAATATTTCGTTGTACTTAATTGTGTTTATTTATATGATGCACCGATGATTAAATCCAACAGTCAATGCCACGGAATGAGCTCATAAGAATTAGTGTGCTAAACCCTGGAGGTAAATTTTGTGTCCACCATAATAATAAAGTTGACTTGTATTAATTCACTACAAGAAAACACTTCAATTCCAACAAAAAATTCAAACGTGCAAAAATTTTCATTGGAATATCTAATGAATATTCCAGCAATCTTAATTTTATGTTGGAATAAGTGTTGGATGGTTGAGGAATTCCAATGGATTCTTTCCGTTGGAATAGTTGTAGGAATTTATTTTCATAGGATTTTCCGTTGGATTTTAGCTATTCCAACGGCCGTTTTTCCCACGAATTTTTATACGTAGGAATATCCATTGAAATAGCTATTCCAACGGAAAATATAAAGAATTCCAACGAAAAATTTCCGTTGGAATGTAAGAGCTTTTTTTGTAGTGATTTCAGAATGAATGATATATATTAATTAATTTAATTTTCATTTATTAAATTAATTAATGGTCCGGACTGGGATAAATCTAGTATATATAGTTGGAACCAATGTAATTTGGGTTTGAGAAATATATTAATCATTTAGTGAATTGTTATTATTGATAGTTTAAGGTATTCGGTGACACAAAATCCGATACTCCTTAGATCAAATGTGCCCACGGTTTCGAACCGGCTCGGATCAACCCGTTGTTCGGATCAGGTTAATTGCACTTCTCATTTTTCTAAAAAAATAAATTGTTGAGTAGATTTTCATTCAAAACTGGAATCAGTGGTTCGACAGATTCTTTTTTTTTTTCAAATTAATTTTTTTTTAAAAAAAATGAATTTTCATTTTTGTTTGTCGGGTTGGTCCCGAATTCGGAACCGGCGAGCCAGGGTCTCCAACGGTCAGATTTTAAAAACCAACCGTTGGATCTTGTGTTATTGAGACAAAACTTGGCATAAGAAAACTCTGACTTAGGTGTTATATAATTTAAGAAGTCATAACTTAAATAAATATCCTAATTTCGTCAAAAAAAATAGATAATATGTAACAGGGCTAGAGAAAGGTTCTGTGACAGTGTGACATGGACGCCTTGAAGAAAGGAAAAGGAAAGAACTCCCTGTTCCAGCCATTATCTCATGTATGGTAAAAACAGTTTTGTTATGAAGTCGAACAGTTGTCTCTATAATATTATTTAAATAATCAGAGAATATGATATATTTTGTTTGTTATATATAGAAGGTTAAGTCTACTATGGAGCCAAATGTTTGCTTCATAGCAAAACTAATAGTAATACTTAACATCGGAACCCGATATACATGTACGAGGGATAATACAATTTACAACTGAACAATGTACAAAATTTACTATTGTTGTTGCGTATCACTTAGATAATTTTAGCAATTGTGATTTGTATGATTGATTATAGATATATTTTTAGATATTATATGTAATATTAAAATAGTCATACGATAAATTGTGTTTTATTTATATAGTATTTTGTATCTTCCACTTAACAACATTCAATCATTTAAAATTCTCTCCTTATATATTAATTCAAAATATGTTGTGCTTAAGTGGCAGATTTTTACGCTTCGGATGCTGACATGACAAAAATTTATGCTTCGTAACGTTGTTTATATATTCATTTTTGCTCTGGAGTTAGGTTTGGTATTAGACATAAATAATTTTTATTTTTTTTTAAATTTACCTTAATTTTGTTATTTTTTTTAGTGCATATTTCCTTCTTAGTTTAGGCATGTAATAATCTTACCATATTATATCTCTCATATTTCTCTCCTAAAATACGATTCACAAATCACTTTCATTGTCTATTCCTCATCTTTTTTTTTTTTTTCATTAATTAGTCCAACAAAATTTTTAAATAAAAATTTATTTTAGCAATAACTTTTATCATATATTTTTAACTCAACACTCTTGTAGTGCACGTGTAATTTACTAGTAAATTAGTATTTATCAACATAATATTCTATCACTTTATGATTAATAATTTTATTATTTTCAAATTTGATATTTACTTATATTTTTTTATTTTCAGCATCTTAGTAATGTTCAATCCTTTATATACTTTATTTAAGTGAAGACACAAGATTTAGAAATTTATTCATATTCATTATATGTTTTGATATGGGATATTATACCTACAAGGTAAACCGGTCTGTTGAACCGGTTTAAGGGGTAGTATCGCGAGGAAGCCGAATTAATCTAGCGGTAATCGAGCAAGATGACGATGGTCGAACACCTTAAAAATAAGACCTGGAGGACTCAGGGACAGACAGTATATCAAGAGTAGTCGAAGGATCGACCAGTTGAGCAGTCTAACAGTCGAGTGATCGAGCAGTCGAGCAGTCGAGTTGACATAAATATATCGACCACTTTATGGATTGGCAGTATCCTGGAGATCGGCCTAGTCACAGGCGCGTGTAAGAGCCTCTAACCGAATTTCAGGGGAATATTCAGAGGAATAATCATCCCATGTGCAGAGGACACGAGGCGAGAATGTATTGGTTGACAGCGACAACCACCTCTGACGACTCCCAACGCCACCTCTGACATACGCGCAACGTGTCAGAGTACGGACGGGCAGCTGGGGCAGCCAGCTCACCATGTCCGGGCAGCCCTTAGGTCAGGTATCTCACCCCTATATAAAGAGGGGTGAGCCTTTCCTCCTTAACACGATTTTTCATTATTCTACTCAAACATACACATACTTACTTAAGCATCTGAGGCTCTTCATCAGAGAAACCCCCGATGTGAGAGTTGTTTGCAGGTTTCCAGCGTTCCACCGACAAGGACGAGAGGCGATCTATTTTAAACCGGCCAGGACGCTCACACTTGCATTATGTTTATACTTATTATAGGCATATCTTTTTCTTTAAAATATAAATCAATAATAATAATAATAATCTTATGGTATATTTATGTAAATATTTTTTATAAGATAACATCGATAAGGAATATTATATCTAAGGGAGTAAACTGGCGTAATTAGCCAGTCGAACGAGCCCAATAAACTGCTCTGGTCGAACGAACTCCGAACAAGAACGACCGTGGTCGAAGATTACTGGAACGGAAGCCCTAGGGGAACATGTTGGCTCATGGTCTAGGAAGATTTGTTTGAAAGCTGACTTGTCGAGCAAATGGTCATTTGATCAACCATATTACATACTCAGAGTAGTCCGAGGATCGACCTGGGCTTGGTCGATCACAAGTGCCTTTGAGGAGATCTCAAAGGATTTCTACCTCCACGTGCGGAGGACACGTGGCGAGGCCCAATTGGCCTTTAGCGAATAACCATTTCTGACACACCTCCAGTGTGTGTTGTACTATCGGGAAGGTCGGGCAGCTCTTGGATATCCAGCTCAGCTAATCCGAGCAACTTCTAGAACATGTATCTCACCCTTATATATATATATATATATGTGTGTGTGTGTGTGTATGTGTGTGTGTGTGTGTGTGTAAGCCTTATGATTTTGAAGACGATATCATTCATTCTTATTACTGTAAATCGGAGATAGCTTGAGAATGACATGAGCTTTGGAGGCTTTTAACTGGAAATCCTTCCGGTGTGCAAGTTTGTGCAGCAAAGGCGAGCCGATTCTCAGGCGGTCGGAATGTTGGACTTGCATTATTGGCACCGTCTGTAACACCCCGCCTTCTAATACTAGAAATAATAAAATCAGAGTAAAATTTTTGCTTTTTATTTTCGAAAAACTCTTTAACTTTATTTTCAAAAATACTCATACTAACTCGCAGGATGCTACTAACTTAAACTCTTTCTCATGCAGACGTAAATAAATACATGTAACCTAATCAAATCCGTTATATAGAGGTACCACGGAGATAAAGGCATTAAACATGCATAAGTCTAAATATCTCATAATACATAATAAGTCTGAATATGCGGAAGGTAACATACTGAGTGCACGCATAATAATAATGATACATGTTCATATGAATGACACGTAAATGTGTTACAAAAGGTATGACTCATGACCATGCGCCACTCGTGCTCACGCGCCACGCGCCACTCCGTCACCTGAAAAACATAATGGGGCGTGAGCAAACCACTATGCTCCGCAAA